CCCCCCCCCGCCCCCCGTGGAGCCCCCCGGCCCATTTTTGATGTGCCGGGAGATTAGGCGACCCTGCCGAGGCCCCGAGGACGGACGGCGTTCCCAGGCGAGCGCTGTGATTTCCTGCCGCCCGCCCCGTCGCGCCTCCTCTCCAGGAGCAGCCCAGACAGACGAGATGTTATCGATAGCCCGGACCTTGCAGAAAGCCCCCTTTTTCAAAGCTAGTACTTCCTCCGCTTATTTCAATGCGGTATCCTGCAGATCTCGGCTCTCTCCTCCCCTCCGAAAAGGGAGCAAAAAGGGAGAGGAGGGGGGAAAAAAAACAAAACAAAACAAACTAACAACATCCTTATTGTGTTGTTTTGCTCTATCCCTTTCTTCCTCCCGCTTCCCTGAAGCTATAGGCACCAAAGCAAAGAAAAACCCAACACCCTCCCAAAACACACTTTTTTTAAAAAAAAAAAAACAACCCAGCAACAAGTCACTCTGTTCCCTTTCCCCCTCTGTTTGATTAATTCTCATTAGGGCCTTTGAGCAAACAATATGCTCCCCTCTCGAATAACAGCCAGGGTATATATTACACTGCAAGAAAAACAAACGAGGCTCACTTAAAGACAGCCCCGCCGAGCGCAATTCCTGGAGAGAGAGCGGAGGGCGCAGGCGGGCGCACAGACCTAGTTCCGAAATCCCAGGCGCGGGACGCTCCGCGAGCCGTAAATCAGCGAGACGCCCCGCGGCAGGGAAGCGCCTTCGCGCGTGCAGGTAACGTGGTTGCAAACATTTAAGCCATCACACATAAACGTTTCCGGCGCGGGAACGACGCCCAGAGCCCAGCTCCGCGGAGCCGGGGAGAGGAGAGCTGCCCTCAGAGGTGCCAGGGATGGGACATCTTGGAAAAGCCAAATCTGCTGCTCCCGTTGAAGCCCGCAGAGCGGTGGGGAAAGCACCCTCCAAAAACCCGTAATGTCACCTGCAGGCTGGGGCGACAAACGGGAAAACGAGGGAAACGCAACACTTGCTCCCAAGCTGCGGTCACGTTTTCTCCCTGGGCACCACCAGCCTCACCGATGGGACCGATGGAGCAGATGCCTACGCAGGGTGCTCGTTCATCAACGTGGGGTGCACGCACACCAGCGCGGGGTGTACATGCGCTGCTTCCCCCAACGCACAGCCCACCAATGGGTCTGTAGCTGCCCCGTGGACGGGGACCCATTCATTGCCTTCCTCCCGCCTCCATGGAGTCCCACGGGCAAGGAGAAGACATGATGCAAGGTGCAGGTACCAGGCCCACCTAGCACTGCCGGCCTGCCGGTAACGCTTGTCACAAATCAGAGCGCAACACAACAACTGGGAGTGGGTAAACCTCACAACGTGTGCCCCCAAGATGTCAGACGCAAGTTACCCTTCCGAAAAAACACAACCCACGACGAGCGTCCAGATACTGCGCTGGCAGTCCCAGAAACACGGCGGCAGTTCCACCTCCGCCGACCAGGCAAAGACACTCAATCCTCCCGCGAGGGTACAACCGTACCTGCTCCAACGGTCTCTACCTTCTAGCGAATAAATTGCCAGCATCATTTAGCCTTCCCCAGCACACCTCTTTCGGCCTCGCTCCAAAAACTGATGGAGCGTAAGGCTGGAATCCAAAGGAAATATGGACTTGGGAGGACGCAGAGCTTAGCCCGGGATTGTCAACACATCTCCTCCAAGAGAGGTACTCAGCTGCTACCGAAAAGAAACCCAACTCTCCCTTTGAGCATGCCTTTCTCAACGACTCGCATCCTTGATACTCCCCAGCATGGCTTTTTGTTTCATTTGGGCCCCCCCCCGCCCCGGTCAATGGGAATGGCAGGGGCACCGGCGGAGAGGGGCCGCACAGGAAAACGCCGGGCAATGGGAATGGCAGGGACACAGGCGGAGAGGGGCCGGCCCGAGAAACGCACCCGACGGTAAGGTCAACAAGAGAGGTCTTACCTGAAAGCCCCCCAGGGGCTAGACAATTAGTTCCCCCTGTTTCAGTGGAGGAAGGCACAGAGTCTGGACAATCTGCTGCGGCAGAGGGAAAGAACAAGAAATAAGTATATATTTGTTTCGTAGCACGCCATAAACAACGCCAAGAGCAGCACACACATTCCAAAGCGTTGAACAGGAAGCTATTACTAATTGTCTGCACAGACACGGTAGTTCATCAAGATGCGTCCACCCTAACTCATCGCCTCCACCAAGGCTCCGCGCTGCACTTAATCACCAGCCAATGATGATTATAGACTGGCAAAAATTACAGACGGGTTGCCATCTTTCTGTCCAAGTCACCAGCTAATGAAATCCAGCCCGTCGTCTTTACGATTTAACTGACTGAGCTCCCCAAATGCCTAAATTGTTGCTTTCTATGTTGGATTTAGTCAACACTTGCGCTCACCCAAGTGCAAACCGAAAGGGAAACGGCTTAATTACTCTTCTTTTTGCTGCAGAAGGTCTAATGTTAAGAGCGCTCCCCTCATCAATTTTGTCACCGCTGGTTCCCCGTGGATCTCATACGCCACCGATCACCTCCTGCGAGCACAGCGTGCACCTATGAGGCCTGGCCAGTACAACACCTACTCCTCCACACACTACTGAAGGTATAAGAAAAGGTAAGATCGGATGGTTTTGGTCACTACCCCAGAAGACACAAGCTCAAGGAAACACCACAACTGAGCGGAGCTGAAGTCACAGAAAGAGATCCATAAAGTTCACGCAACCTTCAGGGCCTCGCCAGACCGTTGGTGAGTTTTGGTTTGATCAGTTTTGGGCTCCCTACTGACATCATTTTGCTCAATGTTGTATCTCAAAGCAAGGGCCACCACTCAGAGGGCAGAGGCCTGATAAGTCATCTTTCCAGAATTCATCCCTGAAATCCCAGTGAAAAAAAAAATGCGCGTGTGTATAACCTCATTTTATCAGAGTGAAGTATAACCCCTAACAGGAATATACAGTTTAACAGGATATACTTAATCAAACTGAAAACAATGGGGGAGACAGGAAATGGACTTTCTTGTGAAATACTGTATATTACACACTCGCTAAATGCCTGGTAGTGTTTTCTGGGTTCCAGAGAAATATGCTTTTGCTTTTTTTAACCCTTTCCACTTTTTAATCCAGGTAATTCCCCTATACCCTTCTCCTGAGGTGACTCCAACCGCTTTGGGTACAGATGCTGTCTAAACACAGGCTGGACTGTCCTACACACGGTGCCCCATGCTGGGCTCCAATCTGCCCCCATCAGACATGGCGAGCTCCCCTACGAGTCCCTGCGATCCCCAGGGGATAAAGGACATGATTTGCCCTTTCCATGTCGTCTTACTCTGGAGGTCATATATAATCAGGTCCTCTCTTAGCACTCTGAACACTCTTACAGAAGACTAGGATCTAATTCACAGGATGGCAGGAGTGAATCCTATCAGTATGTCCGCTTTGGACTTAAAATACGTAACCCTAACGATGAGGCTTACAGCAATCCTGCTCCAGTCAAACTCCAAAGACAAGTGCTGTTTGGAGATTTTCCACTGAGGCTAAAATCAAGGATGGATTTAGAGGCTCCCGAAACACCTGGGCCGCTCCCTGATCTGCACTGACAGTCAATGAAGAACCAATGTACTTCATTATCATTGACTTCTCTTGACTGCTACCAGCTCCCTTCCCATGTCCCGTTATCCAACAGCCAGTTCCCTTCATCAATTCATCACAAAAATCACTCTAAAGTAGAGTACCAGAAGTCTCCTTACAGGACGCAGCGCTGACATAGCCTTCACCCTGGAACAAGGGTGACGATCATGTACGGAATAGGCAGAAAAGCATGGACCTCCCGAGCGCACAGCACTAGCCACTAAATGTGGCTAGTTTTATCCTTGCACAATTGATATCACCCACAGATTAGCCAAGTGCTCTCACTGATATAGGGTACTCTGGCTCACTTTGTGTTTGGCACTGGGGAGGTCACAGTCTCAAAGGTTCACGCAAGTCTACGGCATGCTAATCTCTTCCCAAAATTCTCCTACCACAATATAAAACCACCGTGGAGACATACACTTATTCCCGGTGGCTACTGGCCCAATCTTGCAAGGTGCCGAATATTTCCTGGAAGCTGCCAAACCTTCAACTCCCATGAAAATCAACACCATGTGAGGGCACGTGACTCTGCAGCTAACTCTCTGTAGGCTTCCTGCACTCTGATATTCAGGCACCACCTTGATCAGCCACCCAGGACAGCATGTGCACCACAGGCTTGGGCACGTCGCCCCACTGGGGTCACCCCAGTGTGACACGCGAAACCTCCTCTTTCACTGGAGGCATCCCCTCTGGTCAGCAACACTGAAGATGCTTTCTGGAGCAGTGTCCAGACAGAGCCACCACCAGCTCGGCAGCACAGGCTAGAGCTGGGCTGGGGCAAGAACACATAGGACAAGGGGCCCTAGCAGAGGCTGCGGGTGCACCATGGGTGCAGCCGCTTCCGGGCTCTGTACCAGCTGGACAAAATATCTGCTTTAATACTGGCATCTGAGGGCATCGCTGTCCTCCTTGCTTCCAACACAGCCACACGTGGTAGCCCCTGCAAAGATGTCAGGCTTGCTGAGCCCATGGACACCCTTCCAGGAGCTCAGCTTCACCCCCCATTGGGCTCAGCAGCGCGGATCAGCCCCACAGGCTTGCAGAGGGGGGACCGGTCCCTTGCACGTTACTGCCGCTGATCCCTGGAAATGCCCCGGATAAGAAACAGTGAAAGTCACTGCGTACAACTTCTCCTTGAAGAACACATCTGAGCAAGCTGGCCCAGACCTACAGCCTTCCCACAGGTAACGTGGCTCTCCAAGGGCAGATCTTTCTGCTCTCCGGAAAGCGTACAAACATCAAATCCATCAACGCACAAACGTACACGGCATTCAGGTGACTGTGGCAGACCCTCTGGCTCCCTGTCTGTCCCGGCTTTCCTTAAGCAACTGACATAACCTGTCTGAACCTCCACCACCTCCAAAAAAGCGTTTGTGGTAATCCCCACCTAACACACTGGCAACCACTGCTGGAGCCTGGGCACGCGCGGCCATGCCCGCCTATCTGTCTATACGAAGCACTTACAAGACTTAGCACTAGGCGCCTAAATATTTTTATTACCACTATCATGCTTCATGGAAAAGCGCTGTGTCAAGTTTCCCGTTAGATGCACCGTTCCCTGCTACCTTTGCAGATGGGAGTTTTTCCAAGTTGCCCAACTATAAATGGAGGGACCGTTCCTAACCAGCGTCCCAGAAGCGTGCTTGCAGCCCGCGATGGCTCCTTTTAATCGCCCATGAAACAGGCTTCACGCTTTCCCACCATAAGTTACTGCTCCTCTGTCAATTAACCAGCCCAAGGCAAGCAATATTCATCCTAAAGCTTGGAAATGTGGGAACCGGAGACCCTAGCACGGCTCTGCCTGCTGCAAGCGACGGCCGTGATACCCAGGCATTAAATTTGCTCCCCTTCCCTCCACAATAGCCCTGATTAAGGAGGAAATGCGCATGCACGCAAAAATCAGGGGCTGCGAAAGCCACCTGCAGCGACAGACTTACAGGCTCCTCTCGCGTCTGTCACTGCTCCGCGCGCCCTGTTATTCAGTGCTCAGCCACCAAACGGGTTTTTCTTTCAAAAAGGGGGAAAAAAAAAAAAAGGGAACTTTTTGGTGAGTAACCCAGTTGTTTCTGCGTTTCCGATTGGCAGCATTAATCACTTCCTATTGGCTGATACAAGTAACTTTTCCTTTCGAAATGGCACATTCATGCTCTGCGGCTTTTCTGTTTACACACATTTTGCTACCTTATGTCAACACTTGTTAATGAATAAATATATCACTCGACTAACTGAAAAGGAGGTCCTGGCAAAGGCAGATTGGATGTTTTAAACCCCGCTAACAGATTTATCCTACCATCTTTACAGGAAACCAAAGGCAATCATTTACCCTCCTTTCCTTGAGCTTCCCGCGGGCACGGACCCCCCGAAACCCTTTGCGGATTGGCCAGCGTCATTAGGTAAAAGCAAAGGAAAGAAAGGAAGAAATCTCAGCCTCTGAAGATTTTCTGGGAGCGCTCCCTTGCCCAGCGGGGAAACAGCCGAAGCGATGAGTCTTGCCCCCAAAACAAACCTCTTCGCGACCCTCAGCCCATGTTACGGAACAACCTTTCTCAACCCAAACAGCCCGCGAGCGCAAGCAACGCTCGCCAGGGATGTTGAACATAACACCGATATCCCCTCGCTAATTAATGACCCTTTATCTCGTGTTTTTTCAAAATATTTCATGCTTTGCAACCCAAGCGTTTGCAAAACAGCTTTGCCGGGTTTCCACGCAGCATCACGAAACCTCTTTGAGTCACCGAGAGTTTACAGCGGGGTAAAAACGAGAGCGCTAGGGAGGCCGGCCTTGCTTTCTGCAAGGTGTCAAGTACCACCACATCCTCGGCAGGCCAGTACCCAGCAGGACGGGACCCCGCACCCCAGGTATCTAAAGCGGCCTCACTTTTTGTCTTCCTTTCGTTCTTTTTTTTTTCCAGGGCAACCTCAAAACGAGAAGACAAACTCCACCAAAGCGGTCCCTCGGGACCTGCCCGGGCTCCGGAGGCAGCCGGTCCCGGGAAACTCAACACCAGTAATTTTAGGGAAACTGCTCTTTTGGCAAAGCAGGACCCAATAGCTTTCAAAAACAGTCCTATTTTTGACTCCCTTTCGACTGGCAGACACAACCGAGCTACAACCCATCCTGGAGCTACAACCCATCCTCGCGATCCATTAATCCTGGGGGGGTGCGGGGGGGGGGGGGGGAGGAGGCGGCTTGGCGGAGCGCTGCCCCTCCCCGCCTTCATCCCCGTTTCCGATTTTCGCCAACTCTTCCCTCTTTCCGCAATGCCAGCCCTATTTATCTAACACGGGGCGAGCCCGCGGCCAGCCAAGAGTTTATGCAGACGACCGCAAAACAGCTGGTGCCAGCCTCAAATGGGCTTCTCCCCTGGCATCCTGACACTCAATTACAAGCAACAGGAAAGCAGAGCTGGGTTTTTAAAAAAAAAAA